TACAGCCTCACCAGTGCCCGCCGGTGCAGCCTCACCAGTGCCCGTCGGTACAGCCTCACCAGTGCCCATCAGTGAAGAAGAAAAATTACTTATTTGCAAAATTGTTAACAGAAAGAAAGAAAAAACGTTGAAGTGGTTACCTGTAAATTAATTTCCTCTCAGCTCTTGTTTTGTATTTCCTAAAAGGAACAAGCCTTACAGTCTCCTCCCTTTTCTAAAACTTCTTCAACAAGTCCCGCCAGACCATGTCAGTAACGGCCAGGTGACCAATGAGTGAGAGGGAATCCAAAATTTCACGGTTGTCACCTGCACAGGATTAGCAGGACACGGGCACCTCCCCCTACCTCCCTACCACACTGACTGCGCCGGAGACATTAGGGGAAACAAACTCAATGCGGGAAATATTTACACATCATTATGTATGTTTTTCCCTCAGAGGCGATCAATCTTTGCTGTCAGTGCATTCGGCCCGGTGCCTCTGTTTGATCAGCAGCCACAGAGAATTCTCACACGCAGGTGAGCCCGTGCCACTTTGAAGAGTGGAAACCCGTGTGTCTGGTAATGAAGCCGAATCCCTTTGAAGTTGTGTTGGTGTAATGATAACTCCTCGGGATTACACCTGAAAAGGCTTCTTAGAAACCACTTCTGAGGAGCTTTAGTCTGCAAGGTGTAATTTGCCATTAGCATCTAATAGGCTCATAGTCTTAAAAATGGAGTAAAATAAAAAAAAAAAGGAAGCGAGAAGCGACAAATTTTGCTGCATCATTTCAGTATTTTCAGAATGCGCCTTCATAAAAGTGGTAAGAGGTAAAATGACAGGATAATGACACGTACCGCGATCTGACATCCCCATATTATTATTATTTTACTTTTTTCTGTTTGATATTTCTGTTTTGCCACAAAGCAGTTTTTTTTTTCCATTTGTTTAGGAAAAAAGAACAATGAATGGAAAAGAAGCCTCAGTCTGTTTGTCCAAAACAGAACATCCCTGGGACTCATTAGGCCTCATGCACACAGGGCTTACCCACCTCCCGTCCGGCCGTTGTGTATAAACAGCCGGACGTGGCAGTGCAGGGTCGGGTGGTTGTTTATAAACGGCCTCTCCGACCCCTGCTTGTGCGTGCTCTCTGGGAGCGCGCAGCACCGCGATCCGGTGCCCGCTGTGTCCTCCAGACACAGTGGAACACCGATCGTCGTACGGGACCTCTGTGCGAGGTCCCGATCATGAGATCACCGATTGGCCAATCAGTGGTCATAAGCAGGGTAGTAAGCAAGATGTCACTTCTGACATCATTGCTTACTATGTGTGAAATCTGTGAATGATCACCGAGGTCACATGGTACAGGGCTGTTCACAACAGCCTTGTACCATGTGACAAGCTGTGATCAATCACAGCTCACACAGTATTTCTCAATGGCTGCAAGAATGCTGCCAGAGAGAAGGAGAAATGATTGCTTTTACAGCCTTTATGGGTGTAAAAGCAATCAGTGTAAAAAAAAAAAAAAAAAATTCTTCATCACCCCCCACAAGTAGTACAGTGTCACCATAGTGACACTACTGCTAGGGTGACGGTATGTAAAAAAAAAAAAAAAAAACATAATATAAAAAAATAAAATAAAAATGTAAAATAACATTTTTTAAAAATTATAATTTTTGGTTATAAACTAAATTTGTGTTTTTTTTACTAAAAAGTTAACTGAATACATTTTGGCCAAGATTTATGATGAAATATTATTTATTTGCTAAATTTTATAAGAAAAACACTTTAAAACATTTTTGGACTTTTGAATTTATATAGCAAAAAAAAATAAAAATCCCGGCTGTGAATTGAATAAATACCACCAAAATAAAGCTTTATCTGTCTCAAAAAAAAAAAAAAGCTAAAAAATTCATATGGGTACAGTGTTGCATGACCGCGCAATTGTCATTCAAAGTATGATAGCACTGAAAGCTGAAAACTGGCCTGGGACAGGAATGAGGGGTAAGTGTCCGGACTGGAAGGGGGGGAAAGTGTCCGGACTGGAAGGGGGGGAAAGTGTCCGGACTGGAAGGGGGGGAAAGTGTCCGGACTGGAAGGGGGGGAAACTGGAATGGGGGGAAAAGTCCAGACTGGAAGGGGGGGAAAGTGTCCAGACTGGAAGGGGGGAAAGTGTCCAGACTGGAAGGGGGGGAAAGTGTCCAGACTGGAAGGAGGGGTAAGTGTCCGGCAAGAAGGGGGGGAATAAGTGTCCAGACTGGAAGGGGGGTAAGTGTCCAGACTGGAAGGGGGGGGAAAGTGTCCAGACTGGAAGGGGGGGAAAGTGTCCAGACTGGAAGGGGGGGAAAGTGTCCAGACTGGAGGAAAAAGGGGGGAAAGTGTCCGGAGACTGGAAGGGGGGGAAAGTGTCCAGACTGGAAGGGGGGGAAAGTGTCCAGACTGGAAGGGGGACTGGAAGGGGGGGAAAGTGTCCGGACTGGAAGGGGGGGAAAGTGTCCGGACTGGAAGGGGGGGAAAGTGTCCGGACTGGAAGGGGGGGAAAGTGTCCGGACTGGAAGGGGGGAAAGTGTCCGGACTGGAAGGGGGGAAAAGTGTCCGGACTGGAAGGGGGGAAAGTGTCCCGGACTGGGAAGGGGGGGAAAGTGTCCGGACCGGAAGGGGGGGAAAGTGTCCAGACTGGAAGGGGGGGGGAAAGTGTCCAGACTGGAAGGGGGGAAAGTGTCCGGACTGGAAGTGGTTAAAAAATGCTGCGGTTTTATTTACTAGTCGTAAACGCACCTCTATGTTAAGCCTAGAAAACTGGAGGACAAAAAACGCTCTGGGAGGGATCGGGAAAGTTAGATCGTTAGTACGCAGTTTTCGTAAGCCAATTGCAACAGTTCAAATTATTCTGAAGGGACAAGCATGAAAATTTTTCTCACATGATAACAGAATGAACGATTCTTGTTTAAGGCTCGGTTCACACCTAAGCCGTTTGCGTTTGATCCATTTCTGCGGTACTATTTGCGGTGCGTTTGGCGTTTTTGCACATGCGTTTTTGACTTTTTTTTTCAACTGGGCAGAATAAAACACAAAAGGCATAAAAAAAACTAATCAAAAACGCACTACATGCTTCTGCAGTGTCTCCATTGAAGTCTATAGAACCAAAAACGCAACGTTTTGCATTTAAAAAGGTCCCCGACCCTTTTCAAAAAATGCACCGGTTGAAAACGCGGAGATGGGAACCTGTCCCATAGGAAATCATGTTAAATGGACTGCTGTGCGTTTCCGCAAAACGCAGCAGAAAACGCTTAGGTGTGAACCTACAATAAAGCGGAGTTCCAGCTCCCGCCACCTCCCAAAAAAAACTTAAACGTCAGCAGCTACAAAATACTGTGGCTGCTGGCTTTTAATATTAGGGCACTTATCTATCCAGGGATCCAGAAATGTCCTCACCCCGAGCAGATTCTTCACTTGGCTGTCGGGTGCTGGTGCAGCCATCTTGACTAAGGGAAACCAGCAGTGAAGCCTTCCAGCTTCACCGCCAGTTTCCTACTGCACATGCACGAAGTACGCTGCGCTTTGTGACGGGGCCGCAGTCCTCAGGCTGCGGGAGGGTGGTGGACTTCCGTCTCAGTTCGCCGCAGGGAACTGAGCTGGAAGTGGGAGCAGGTACTGTCAAAATCAGGTACCCACTCCCCCCTAAAAGGTCGCAAATGTGGGAGCGGAGGGAAGGGGGAGGAGGCAGAAAAGCAGAGCTTCTACTTTTGGGTGGGACCTTCGCTTTAATCGGTACAAACGTAAAAAAAAAAAAATCGAGAGACCAAGACCACGCATGCACAGAAATGAAAGAACTTAATACAATACAATAGATCACTTCCAAAGTTGTGTTCGGTCTTACGAGAATTTTCATAACTTCAGTTATTTTCAATATGAGACTAGCAAGCAAACCCCCCACAAAAAACGGACAATCATTCATCCGATATTCTCATCGTGTGTATGGGGCATTAGTCTATGTGGCCGTGCACAAACAAAAAAAAAAAAAACAGAAAAATCAGCAAGTTCCCCAGACCATAATGCCAGAGACCTTAGTAAAAGTCCATGTAAAGTTCAGTATTCGTGAGTCCACATAGCACTGGGGTAAGCTCTTCAGGCTCTAAGTAAACACACAAAAGAAGGAAAAAAGCGCCTCTAAGTGCAATATGCCGACCCCATGTGTGCATAGCCACATGTGAAGTGCATAGCCACATAAACATAAAAGGGAAAAAAGCGCCTCGAAGTGCAATATGCCGACCCCATGTGTGCATAGCCACATAAAAGAAGGAAAAAAGCGCCTCGAAGTGCAATATGCCAACTCCATGTGTGCATAGCCACATAAAAGAAGGGAAAAAGCGCCTCGAAGTGCAATATACCGACCCCATGTGTGCATAGCCACATAAAAGAAGGAAAAAAGCGCCTCGAAGTGCAATATGCCGGACATTTATTCTGGAACAATCAAAAGACACTCACATGATAAAAGGTATAAAAAAGCTCATCGGTATAGTGAGGTGGAAGGATGATGTTCCAGTCCTCGCTGAGTATGCCGTGGTTGGCGTTAGGAGAGACTGTAGATGGTAAAGGCCGGCCAGCGAGTGTTTGTCTCGGAAGATGGGCGATGGAGCGCACCCTGGAGCACAACGTCGGCGTCAGCGTGATGACGTAGGAAGCAATAGAAACCTGACAGGTGTTCTAATCCCTCTCCAATCTGTCCAAAACTAATACTTTTAACAGTAGGTTGGCTACCCCGTATGCTCGCAAAGGGTCAAAATACATCCTGCTTCTTATGTATTGGGCCTTCATAGCTGTTAGGAGAGAATATATCTTCTTTCCTGTCCAGGGGTCCAACGCCGTCCTCACCCAGGTTAGTTCTTTACTAGCCCACTTTTTTTCCCTTAGATCAGTGGTTCTCACCCTTTTTTCAGTAAGGGCACCCTTTAAAATTCTACACAATCTCAAGGCAACTCATTATTTGTGTCTCTTATCACTGGAAGAGGCAGGCCATAGCTGGAAATGTTTGCTGTACAACTGGACCAGGGGTGGACTGACCATTTGGAAACTCGGGCACTGCCTGAGGGCCCGGGGTCAGTAGGGGGCCCCTTGAGATGCCCCTGGTACCTTTTTCATAGGCTTTTTTGAGTCTGGGCAAGGACACAGGGGCCCCATGATCCCCTATTGCCCGGGGGCCCATGAGTTGTCAGTCCGCCCCTGAACTGGACACTTCAGTAGCTCTGCAAATCATTTTTTAAGTGTCTTTTTCTTGGTCCAATGACATCATGTGTGAGCCCTGAGTAAGGGGCAGAACCTGGATGTCCTGGGTTCACAAAAATTGGGCTGAATGATGTTGGGTCTCATTCAACCCAGAACCAGATCTCCTGCATTGTCCTCATCACCTAATTACAGATCATGGAAACATTATCAAAAGGGTGAGAACCACTGATACGTTATTCCTTGCCATCCTTGCCTCCTACTAGTTATGGCCTCTTATAGTCGCTGCCTGTGCTAGCCCTGGATCCGTGATTCTTCTAGTTTCTCTTTCCTCCATGTTTTCTTTCTGATTCCTTTTTTTTTTTTTTTGTCATCTTATGTTCTTTATCCTTTCCTCTAACCTTTTTCCTTTTTTTTCTGGAACTATGTTGGATTACTGCTGCTATTATTTCGTTCGGCTTTTTGCCGTCCCTTCTTGATGTCATTTGTCATTGGACATTTTGTTATTTGGCTAATACAAGTCAGCAGGATGTATCTGTTTATGTGTTATTTTTCTGCTCTGCCCCTGCGTGGGCGTATCTTGAGCTTGTTATATTCTTAAAACAAAACTTTCCTAATAAAAATGTTGAAACAGAAAAGGGTGAGAACCATTGATCTAAGGGAAAAAAAAGTGGGCTAGTGAAGAACTAACCTGGGTGAGGACGGCGTTGGACCCCTGGACAGGAAAGTAGAGATGTTCCCTCCTGACAGTTATGAAGAACATGAGAAGCAGGATGTATTTTGACCCTTTTCGAGCATACGGGGTAGCCAACCTACTGTTAAAAGTATTCGTTTTGGACAGATTGGAGAAGGATTAGAACACCTGTCAGGTTTTTATTGCTTCCTACGTCATCACGCTGACGCCGACGTTGCGCTCCATCGCCCATCTTCCAAGACAAACACTCGCTGGCCGGCCTTTACCATCTACAGTCTCTCCTAATGCCAACCACGGCATATTCAGCGAGGACTGGGACATCATCCTTCCACCTCACTATACCAATGAGCTTTTTTTATACCTTTTATCATGTGAGTGTCTTTTCATAGTTCCGGAATAAATGTCCGGCATATTGCACTTCGAGGTGCTTTTTTCCTTCTTTTATGTGGCCATAAAAGGCATGTGATGAACGTGACGCAACGCGTAGATACACGGCGCCGTAGTTCCGGTACGCGGTGATGTACTTCCGGCATGGACACCATCTTGGCACACCTGAAAGCCCATGCAGAGGTACACCATAGCATGAGGTTCAAATGCTTGTGTTTTACTGCAAACAAGTGAGTGGGCAATTGGCGTTGTTTTACTATGTTTTACCTCCATAGCAGTCTGATTATGTCAGTATTTCTGTGCTCAAAGCGATTTTTTTGCATGGAAATATGTCGTTTTTTTATTGTAGGCCTGTAATTCTTAGGAATAACTCACTGAAATCTGTCCGAACAAGAGTCTAGTAAACATCCCGGGGATGATAAAATTAGAAACAGGAAATCATAAATTATAATATAATAACTAACTTAAAAATAATAATAATAATAATAATAAAGTTAATTCAATAATATAATCAAACCAAAAACACTGAAATGTGAAATATAGCGCCAAGTTGGCACATCGCTGAGCTCAGTCACAGAATCATTTTCAGTGTCTGATGAGGAATTTCCCCCACCAATCATTATCACTCAATTCTGCAAGTGGTTCTGATTTACTATCGCTGTTCTCTAGCCGGTCTAAAAACCGCTTCTGACCTAAAGGGACGCTTTTTGAACGCCATGGACGTTTCTCAGTTTCCAGGCAGAAAGAACAGTAAAAATGCAGGCAGGGCGCCGGACAAAGCACTCGGGACAAAATGTATGTGAAATGGTTTGATACAGGAATGTTATACTATGTGATTTTTAGTGTATTTAAATGTCACTTTTACCATTTTCAAATTTCCCGCCAGTTCCGTCCCCGTACTTCCCGACGTCGCAGGGGATGGAACCCGGAGGACAGATGCCGGCATCGGCCAGAGGAGATGGCCGGGGACACTGCAGGGGGGACATCGCTGGAGTGCAGGACAAGGTAAGTGAAGAAGAGATCCCGGAGCAACGCTGCAGTGTATTCCCGAGTGTAGCTCGGGGGGTTACCGCTTGTGGTGCTGAAACTTTACCCCGAGCTACACTCAGGAATACTGCCAGGGGGGTTAAAATAAAACCTATTACACTATGGAGGATCTTTTCTCTTCTATTATGATCCGGATGGGAGATTGAGCTGGGTAGCGGATACTTTTATCTGGAGGGGACCTGAGAAGTGTAAGTGCCGCCAGTGAGGGGGATTACTGTTGGATTCCATCCAATAACCAGTTGCTGCCTGTGAAGGATCCTGGGGTGATCCTGGCCCAGTGGGTGTTTTAAGGGGGAGGGGGTTATTTAGCCATGTTATTTTGAACTTTTCACTACACGCATGGAAAACATCCAAATTTAGGACCAGTTTATCATTTCTCATTGTTTCGCATTACGTGTTTTTGATTTAAAAAAAATTTTTTATGACCTTATGGACAGATTTTTTTATTTATGTTGCTCACTGGAACATGTTTACTGAAGTTTTTGATTGCATTTTTTAGTAAGCACTGTCATTCTTGTTTAGGATGAATCCCCTATTTTGATTTTTCACCAGTCCTTTTTCTATCTGTTGATCCCTGGTAGGGATGTTTTTGGGGGGTTGTTATTATCTATCAGCTTTTCACTACACTATCAAATGTAGGACCAGTTTGTCATTTCTCAGTGCCCACAGTGTTTTTGTGGCACTAATTAGATCCTTACTGGATCAGATCACTATAGAGTTGCTCATCTGCATGTTTATTTATTTTTTCATATTTTAGAAGTGTATTATTGTTTATTATGGCTTATGATTTTTCATTTTTTATATATTAGTGCTACACTATTATCTATCAGCTCCACCTATCAGTGCGCCTCATCAGTGCATCAGTACAGCCTCATCAGCGCCATCAGTGCCATCTCATCAGTGGCCATCATGCAGCGCCCATCAGTGCCGCATGAGTGCCCATCAGTGCCGCTCATCAGTGCCCATCAGTACAGCCTCATCAGCGCCCATCAGTGCCATCTCATCAGCGCCCATCAGTGCCATCTCATCAGTGGCCATCAGTGCAGCCTCATCAGCGCCCATCAGTGCAGCCTCATCAGTGCCCATCAGTGCTGCCTCATCAGTGCCCATCAGTGCCATCTCATCAGCGCCCATCAGTGCAGCCTCATCAGCGCCCATCAGTGCAGCCTCATGAGCCATCTCATCAGCCCATCAGTGCAGCGCCTCATCAGTGCCCATCAGTGCCAGCCTCATCAGTGCCCATCAGTGCAGCCTCATCAGTGCCCATCAGTGCCAGCCTCATCAGTGGCCATCAGTGCAGCCTCATCAGTGGCCATCAGTGCAGCCTCATCAGTGCCCATCAGTGCAGCCTCATCAGTGCCCATCAGTGCAGCCTCATCAGTGCCCATCAGTGCAGCCTCATCAGTGCCCATCAGTGCTGCCTCATCAGTGCCCATCAGTACAGCAGCTCATCAGTGCCCATCAGTGAAGCAGAAAAATTACTCGTTTGCTAAATATTTATAACAGAAACTAAAAAAAAAAAAAATTTAAAAAAAATTTTTAAGCAAAAAAAAAAAAAAAAACCCCAGTGGTGATGAAATACCACCAAAAGAAAGCTCTGTCGGTCTCAAAAAAAAAAGATTAAAAAATGTCATATGGGCACAGTGTTGCATGACCACGCAATTGTCGTTCAAAAAACGACAGCGCTGAAAGCTGGAAATTGGCCTGGGCAGGAAGGGGGTGACATTGTCCGGTATTGAAGGGGTTAAAAACGGAACTAAGCCCACCCCTCCTTTAGAACTAAGGAAGTGGCCATCTTAACCTCTGTCTGATCTTTGGTTGCCATGGTGCTGCACGTGATCAGCTCAGCGCATCATAAGGTAAACACACAAAATGGCCGTAAAGCGGATGGTTGTCATGTCAGGTCCTGAAAATTGATGGCGTCCCTCATACGTACCCCGCCCACCCATGTAAAACGATGATCTGACACCACTTCAGAGCCCCCCCCCCCCCCCTCCATAGACCCCCCTGGGGGCCATTTTGGCTAATGACTGTTGCCATCAGTACTGTGTTCCTCGGGTAGACATTGTTCCGGGGGGAGCCTCTGGCCCTGTGGGCTCTCGTAGCACGCCCCATTTTTATCATCCATCATCCTTAATGGCAGCTGTAGATATGTCTTCTACCTCCTCCAATGGATCGCTCTTCAGATTCATAGTGAGGTCTATGGGAGGGCCCTGAGGGTGTGCAGTGGGATGAGTGTGATAAACTTGGGGTGTGCAGTGAGAGCAGTAAAGTAAAACTGGAGTTTGCAGTGACAGGGGTGAGTAAATTTGGGGTGTGTAGTGAGAGGAATTAGGTAAAATTGGGGTGTGCAGTGAAAGGGGGTGAGGTAAAATTGGGTGTGCAGTGAAAGAGGGTGAGGAAAATTTGGGTGTGCAGTGAGAGGAGTGAGGAAAATTTGGGGTGTGCGTGAGAATATATCTGAGGTGTGAGGTAAATCTGTGTTGTGTATTATGAGGGATGAGGTAAATGAGGTGTGTAGTAAGAAGGAAGGGGTGAGGATAAATACGTGGTGTGCAGTGAGAGGGGTGAGGTTAATTTGGGGTGTACAGTGAGGGGTGAGGTTAATTTGGGGTGTACAGTGAGAAGGTAATTTGGGTGTGCAGTGAGAGGGGTGAGGTAAAATTGGGGTGTGCAGTGAGGGGGGTGAGGTAAAATTGGGGTGTGCAGTGAGAGGGGTTAGGCAAATTTGAGGTGTACAGTAGTTTGAGGGCTGAGGTAAATTTAGGGTGTACAGTACACAGAGAGGTGAGGTAAATTTGGGGTGTAGTGAGAATCTAGGCTGTGCAAGAGTAAATATTGGGTGTGCACTAGAGTGGTGAGGTAGGGGTGTGCAGTGAGAGGAGTGAGGTAAATGTGTAGTGAGAAGGGGCGGTATATCTGAGGTGTGAGGTAAATCTGTGTTGTGTATTATGAGGGGTGAGGTAAATTTAGGGTGTGTATTAAGAAGGAAGGGGTGAGGCAAATTTGGGGTGTGCAGTGAGAATCTAGGCTGTGCAATTAGAGGAGTGAAATAAATTTGGGGTGTGCGCGAAGAGTGGTGAGGTAAATTTGGGGTGCGGTGAGATGAGGTGTATTCGGGGCGTGCGGTGAGATGAGGTATATTTGGGGTGACATGTAGCCCGGGTCCGGTAAATGAGTCATACACAACACGGGACATTATAGAAGGATTCGGGTACCTGATTTCTGAGGTAACTTTTCATGTCACGTGGCCTTTTGGCTCTCCGTGGGCTCCGCAACGGCTGGTTCGGGGCGGGGCTAGGTATGGCTCACATGACACCCCAGGGACGGGCATGATAAGCTGTGGGGGGCGGAGCTGTAGTTTGAAGGGACAGATCACAAAGCAGTGACAACGCTTAGGTGAGCCTCGGAGCCGGAGTGCCGTAGCGTAGCCATTGGGGCCAAAGCTCCAGGCCCAAACTCAACCGGCTGCGGCTAATCTGCGCCTCTAGCGCCCCGCCTCTATTCTCTCGCGCTATAGTTGATAAACTCCGCCCACCTCCTCTACAGGCGGAGCACTGTCTCTAGAATTGAATATGAGCGGAGATTCCTTGCCGCTTCCTGATTCGCTGAGAGTCCTTTAGGGCGGTGCTGTAGTTCCACAGGTGGTGGGCGGGGTTTGTCGCTTGCAGTGAGAGAAACTCCCCCATCTCCTCCCCCTCTCTCTCTCTCCCTCCCTCTCTCTCTCTCTTTCTCCCCCCTTCCCTCTCTCTTTCCCCTCTCCTTCTCTCCCCCCCTCTCGCTCTCTCTCTCCCCCTCCCCCTCTCTTTCTCTCCCCCCTCTCTCTCTTCCCCCCCCCTCTTTCTCTCTCTCTCTCTCTCTCCTCTCTTCTCTCCTCCCCTCCCTGTCCCCCCCTATCTCTCCCCGTGGTACCCCCAACCCTTGTCTGTCCCCGTGGTACTATGTCCCCCCCCCGTACCCTGTCCAACCCTTGTCTGTCCCCGTGGTACCCTATGTCCCCGTCTGTCCCCGTGGTACCCTATGTCCAACCCTTGTCTGTCCCCGTGGTACCCTATGTCCAACCCTGTCCCCGTGGTACCCTATGTCCAACCCTTGTGGTGGTACCCTATGTCCAACCCTTGTCTGTCCCCGTGGTACCCTATGTCCAACCCTTGTCTGTCCCCGTGGTACCCTATGTCCAACCCTAGTCTGTCCCCGTGGTACCCGCACTGCGTTTTGCGGACCACTTTCGGGGTGTTAACATACACACCTGCAGCGGTTCGCATGAATGGGGTGCGATTCTGATGCGAATTCGCACTGAGAACGCTGCGAGCTCCGCACCGCATCAGAGTGAACCCGGGCTAAACCATGTTTTAATAAATACTGCTTGTAATCATCCTTTGTTTCCTTGCAGCACCACTGATCTCCTGCAGCCGTTTTCTGCCGACATGCACTCCAGAGATGGCATTTCTCACAATGGGTTTCCTGATGGTGAAAACAGTTGACCATGTAAGTGTAATGTGTGTTGGCTTAGCCACTTGTCGTCTTCAGTGGGGAGGGTGGTCAGGTGACAAAGCCGGAGCACAATTATAACATTTGAATCCACTTTGTGACCAAACTGGTCCAAAAAAACAGTTTACTTCACTAGCAGATGCCGCGACTGTAAACACTGTTTGAACAGTATGTAGCTAGTGTAGCCCCCCTCTAGTGCAGGATAGGTTTGTTGTTTTTAGCTAGAGGCTGGGTAGCAGCCTGGGATGAGTCAGCCTGGGAGTGAGGTAGTGAGTGCACCTCAGGACAGGCTGGGAGGCTCTAACAGGTCAGGGCTTCGGGAGTCATCCCACCCTTCCAGAAACAGCCAGAACTTTCTGGAAGAGGGTTGGAGGAGGGCAGGCGGCCCAGATTTGCATGTTTAAGGGAACTTGGCCAATCTCTGGGCAAGGTGACCAATATCAACCGTTAAATATGGCTGGGGGGAGTCGGGTGGAAGATGGATTGGGAGAAGGCTGGAGTATGGAGCCTGGGAGAGGGGGCTACCTACAGGCAGGTTGCTGAAAAGAAGGATCTCAACTGCCCAAGGTCTCTTAGGGAAGACATCCTGAGCAGCAGAGAAGAAGCTAGCCCAGCGAAAGGCCACCAACCCACCATGCTGACAGGACAGGACAGTGTGAGTACTTCTACACCCCTTTGGCCAGAGAAGAGAGACGGCGGTCAAGTGCAAGACCCAACTAGTTCTCATCCGGGACTACTTAATTGCTAGATCTTGGAATCCCTTGCCCAGGAATACCGTCAGTGCAGCTGGGTGAAGAGGAAGGATTCATCTGGGGTCTGAGAAGGTACATCAAGGGGACTACAGTGCTCCTTAACCACTTCCTGTCTGGCTGTTGTATATAAACGGTCGGACGGTGGCAGTGCAGGGTCGGGGGGCCATTTATAAACTGCTTTCCTGGCCCCCTGCTTGTGCGCGCTCCCTGGGAGCACGCAGCACTGCGATCCGGTGCCCGCTGTGTCCCCCGGACACAGTGGAGCACCGATAGTCGGACGGGACCTCTCTGCAAGGACCTGATCATGTGATCACCGATTGGCCAATCAGTGATCACATGCAGAGTAGTAAGCAAGATGTCACTTGTGACATCATTGCTTACTACCAGGGGCAGACTGACCACTTGGAAACTCGGGCACTGCCCGGGGTCAGTAGGGGGCCCCATGAGATGCCCCTGGTGCCTTTTTTGAGTTTGGGCAAGGACACAGGGGTCCCATGATCCCCTATTGCCCGGGGGCCCCATGAGTTGTCAGTCCGCCCCTGCTTACTACGTGTGAAATCACATGGTCACATGGTACAAGGCTATTCACAACAGACTTGTACCATGCGACAAGCTGTGACCAATCACAGCTCACTCAGTTGTTCTCAATGGCTGCAAGAATGCAGCCAGAGAGAAGGAGAAATGATTGCTTTTACAGCCTTTATGGGTGTAAAAGCAATCAGTGCAAAAAAAAAAAAATCTTCATCACCCCCCACAAGTAGTACAGTGTCACCATGGTGACTGTACTGCTAGGGGGACAGTATGTAAAAAAAACAAAACATAAATAATAATTTAAAAAAAAAAATGTTTAAAAGTTATAATTTTTGGTTATAAACTAATTTGGGTTATTTTTTTTTTTACTAAAAAGATAACAATAAATTTTGCCCGAGATTTATGATGAAATACTATTTATTTGCAAAATTTTATAAGAAAAACACTTTTTTTTTAATTTTTGGGACTTTTTCATTTGCATAGCAAAAAAAAATAAAAATCCCAGTGGTGAATAAATAACCAAAATACAGCTTTATCTGTCTCAAAAAAATACTAAAAAATTCATATGGGTACAGTGTTGCATGACCGCGCAATTGTCATTCAAAGTGTGATAGCGCTGAAAGCTGAAAATTGGCCTGGAGAGGAAGGGGGGAAAGTGTCCGGACTGGAAGGGGGTGAAAGTGTCCGGACTGGAAGGGGGTGAAAGTGTCCGGACTGGAAGGGGGTGAAAGCGTCCGGACTGGAAGGGGGGTGAAAGCGTCCAGACTGGAAGGGGGGGGGGAAAGTGTCCGGACTGGAAGGGGGGGGGAAGTGTCCGGACTGGAAGGGGGGGGGGAAGTGGTCTGGACTGGAAGGGGGGGGGAAGTGTCTGGACTGGAAGGGGGGGGAAAGCGTCTGGATTGGAAGGGGGTGAAAGCGTCCGGACTGGAAGGGGGTAAAAGCGTCTGGACTGGAGGGGGGAAAAGTGTCCGGACTGGAAGGGGGGGAAAGTGTCCAGACTGGAAGGGGGGGATGAAAGTGTCCGGACTGGAATGAGGGGGAAAGTGTCCGGACTGGAAGGGGGGGGGAAGTGTCCGGACTGGAAGGGGGGGGGAAGTGTTTTGACTGGTAGGGGGTGAAAGTGTCCGGACTGGAAGGGGGTGAAAGTGTCTGGACTGGAAGGGGGGGAAAGTGTCCGGACAAGAAGGGGGGGGGGAAAGTGTCTGGACTGGAAGGGGGGGGAAAGTGTCTGGACTGGAAGGGGGTGAAAGTGTCCGGACTGGAAGGGGGGTGAAAGTGTCCGGACTGGAAGGGGGGGGAAGCGTTCCAGGACTGGAAGGGGGGAAAAGTGTCGGGACTGGAAAGGGGGAAAGTGTCCAGACAGGAAGGGGGTGAAAGTGTCCCGGACTGGAAGGGCAGTGTCCGGACTGGAAGGGGGGGGAAGTGTCCGGAATGGAAAGGGGGGGAAAGTGTCCGGACTGGAAGGGGGGAAAGTGTCTGGACTGAAGTGTGGGGGGAAAGTGTCCGGACTGGAAGGGGGGGGGAAGTGTCCGGAAACTGGAAGGGGGGGGAAAGTGTCCGGACTGGAAGGGGGGACTGAAAGTGTCCGGACATGGAAGGGGGGGGAAGGGGGAGTGTTTTTGACTGGTAGGGGGTGAAAGTGTCCGGAATGGAAGGGGGGGTGAAAGTGTCTGGACTGGAAGGGGGGGGAAAGTGTCCGGACTGGAAGGGGGGGGGAAAGTGTCTGGACTGGAAGGGGGGGGGAAAGTGTCTGGACTGGAAGGGGGTGAAAGTGTCCGGACTGGAAGGGGGTTGAAAGTGTCCTGGACTGGAAGGGGGGGTAGAAGCGTCCGGACTGGAAAGGGGGGGGAAGCGTCCGGACTGGAAGGGGGGGAAAGTGTCGGGACTGGAAGGGGGGAAAGTGTCCAGACAGGAAGGGGGTGAAAGTGTCCGGACTGGGGGCAGAAAGTGTCCGGACTGGAAGGGGGGGAAAAGTGTCCGGAATGGAAGGGGGGGGAGAAAGTGTCCGGACTGGAAGTGGGGGGGGAAGTGTCCGGACTGGAAGTGGGGGAAAGTGTCCGGACTGGAAGGGGGTGAAAGTGTCCGGACTGGAAGGGGGTGAAAGTGTCCGGACTGGAAGGGGGTGAAAGTGTCCGGACTGGAAGGGGGGGAAAGTGTCCAGACTGGAAGTGGTTAAAATCTGACTTTTACTTACTGATGGCCAAAAAAGATTGTGGACACCTGACCATCACACCTCCAACATGACCAGAGGTTTGTGGACAACCCTTCAAATAATCGAGTTCAAGCGTTCTCCAGTGAAGGAGACTGTTAATGCTACAAACACGGAAAGCCATTTTAGACACTTTTACCATCTCTGTGGTAACAGTTTGGTGAAGGCCCTTTTCTCTTTCCTCTTGACTTTGCCCCTGTGTACAAAGTCCGCTCCATAAAGACATGGTTTGATGAGTTTGGTGTGGAGGAAATTTAGTGGCCTGCACAGATCCCTGACCTCAACCTAAACAAACGCCGAACCTAAACAATGCTTGAATGCTTATCGCGAGCCAGGTCTTCTCATCCAACATCAGTTCCTGACTTCATAAATGGGCACAAATTTCCACAGACACCCTCCCAAATCTCGTGGAAAGACTTCCCTGAAGAGTGGAGGCTCATAGAATTCTATATTATAGCCCATTGTTTTAAATTACAATGTCCACCAGGTTATATAGGAGTAATGGTCAGATGGCCACATATTGTATGTATTTTTTATTGTTGCTCTAACCTTTTACTATACATATCAATAAACATGGGCTCCTTCATTTATAGGCTATTTAATATCAGCATTTTTAAAGGACGACAACTTAAAAGCTGGGAAGTGAAAATCTGTGGCCAACAGGAATGTCAACTATAGACAAAAAGTAAGTATCCCTCGGCCTCTCCTGCTATCAAGTCTTTTATCAGTTGGGTAGTTGGAGGTTGTATTGTATGCCGTTGTCTAACAATTGGTCAGCACTATGCCTGTTTTTAGGCCATTTAGTAAAAAAAAAAAAGAGAAATGTGTAAAACGAATTTCCTAGGAACAATACCAAAATTCATTGCACACTCTCCAGCTAGTCAGCACAAAAAGTCTAATTAAACTCTTTTAATATTTAGGTTCAAAAACAGAGGTTTTTGTTGTACAGTGAAGGAAATGTGTATTTGCTCCCCTGCTGATTTTGAATGTTTGCCACTCACAAAGAAATGATCGGTCTAAAAATCGAATGTTCGGTGTATTGTAACACTGAGAGACAGAATAGCAACAGAAAATTCAGCAGAAATGCGTCTAACAAATGATGACTGATCTGCATGTTCATGAGGGAAATACGTATTTGATCCCCTATCATTCAGCAGGATTTCTGGCTCCCAGGTGTCTCTCATACAGGTAACAAGCTGAGATTAGAAGCAGTCTCTTAAAGGGAGTGCTGCTAATCTCATTGTGTTACCTGTATAAAAGACACCTGTCCACAGGAGCAATCAAACCATCAGATTCCAAACTCTCCACCATGGCAAAGACCAAAGAGCTGTCCAAGGATGTCAGGGACAAGATTGTAGACCTACACAAGGCTGGACTGGGCTACCAAACTATGGCCAAGCAGCTTGGTGAGAAGGTGACAACAGTTGGTGCAATCATTCACAAATGGAAGAAACACAAAACAAGTGTCAGTCTCCCTAGGTCTGGTGCACCAGCAAGATCTCACCTCGTGGAGTGTCAATGATCATGAGAACAGTGAGGAATCATCCCAGAACTACACGTGAGGATCTTGTCAATGATCTCCAGGCAGCTGGAACCACAGTCCCCAAGAAAACAATTGGTAACACACTATGCCGACAAGGACTGAAATCCTGCAGTGCCCGCAAGGTCCCTCTGCTCAAGAAAGCACATGTCCAGGCCCATCTGAAGTCTGCCACTGAACATCTGAATGATGCAGAGGAGGACTGGTGGGAAGTGTTGTGGTCAGATGAGACCAAAATCGAGCTCTTTGGCCTCAGCTCGCCGTGTTTTTGGAGGAGGAGGAATGCTGCCATGACCCCAAGAACACCATCCCAACTGTGAAACATGGTGGCGGAAACATTTTGCTTTGGGGGTGTTTTTCTGCTAAGGAATCAGGACAACTGCACCGCATCAAAGGGACGATGGACGGGGCAATGTACCATCAAATCTTGGATGAGAACCTTCTTCCCTCAGCCAGGGCATTAAAATGGGTGGTGGATGGGTGTTCCAGCATGACAATGACCCAAAACACACGGCCAAGGCAACAAAGGAGTGGCTCAAGAAGAAGCACATTAAGGTCCTGGAGTGGCCTAGCCAGTCTCCAGACCTTATCCGATTGAAAATCTGTGGAGGGAGCTGACAGGTTGAGTTGCCAAACGTCAGCCACCAAACCTTAATGACTTGGAGAGGATCTGCCAAGAGGAGTGGGCCAAAATCCCCCTGAGATGTGTGCGAAACCTGGGGGCCAACTCCAGGAAACGTCTGACCTCTGTGATTGCCACCAAGTACTAAGTCATGTTTTGTGAAGGGGATCAAATCCTTCTTTCCCTCATGAACATGCAGATCAGTCATCATTTGTTAGACGCATTTCTGCAGAATTTGTTGTTGCTATTCTGTCTCTGTGTTACAATACACCGAACATTCGATTTTTAGACCGATCATTTCTGTGTGAGGGGCGAACATTCAAAATCAGCAGGGGAGCAAATACGCATTTCCTTCACTGTATACATTGGGAAATACTGTACATGTGAAGCCACAATGCAGTGTCAAGTCCCCTCTGCGGAGTGCGGTCTACAACTCAAAACTATCTGAATTTCCAGCTATCGGACATATACTATAGCAATAATAAATGGAGAGTAGGCTTACCTTAAGGTAGCCACATGTACCCTAAAGGGCCTAAAGTGGACCTGCACCCTAAAGGGCTTGTTGTGCTGCTCTGCCTCCTCCGTCTCTTAAAAAATTAACCCCTTGCCCCCCAGAGGATTTCCCCCCTTCCTAACCAGGCCTTTTTTTTTCGATACAGCACC